AGTACAGTAAGATCTTCCCAAAGATATTGCAGGAAATGATCATCTCTGTCACAGCAGTGATGGGCTCACCTGTACCCAGGACAAGTTCCCTCCTGACTCCCATTCGTTAGAGATCATCACGGACCCTGCCTCAAACTTCCTGAACGCTTGTGTTGTCTTTTCCTTCTTTAACCCTTACTGCGCTAGCGGTGGGTGTTCACATTATCTGTGTAAATGCCCAAACCTCTCTTGAATCCTGCTAAACCCTAGGCCTCTAGGATAGCTTGTGGCTGAGAATTTGGCAGGCTAAGTGAGGCTGGTGTTAAAGAGAACATGATGACCCTCTAAAACGTCCTCTGACTCCCGGAGCCCGGTGAGCAGTGTTCTTACCAGCCGTTGGTGACCAAATGCACTACAAACGTTTTTTTTTCTCCTGCTGATAATAGCTCATCTTAATTAATTAGCCTCTTACAGTTGGTATGGCTACTTCCACCTTTTCATGTTCTCTGTATGTATATATATCTTCTTACTATATGTTCCATTCTATGCATCCGAAGAAGTGGGCTGTAGCCCACAAAAGCTTATGCTCAAATCCATTTGTTAGTCTCTAAGGTGCCACAAGTACTCCTGTTCTTTTAACCAGGAAAATATCTGCTCTATTGTGTCAAGTATCAGAGGGGTAGCCGTGTTAGTCTGGATCTGTAAAAAGCGACAAAGAGTCCTGTGGCACCTTTAAGACTAACAAATGTATTGGAGCAAGAGCTTTCGTGGGTGACTACCCACTTCGTCAGACTCTCTGTTGCTCTATTGTGGAGATTCTTAATTTCCTAGCCGGTGTTGATTTCCCCTTTAGCTGTGGTTTTCAGCCAAGGCAAAGGAAAGGGAGATTCTAATGACAAAGCCAGGCAGGACTAGAGAAAATCCCCTGTTATCATCATGACATCTGTGCCGCACGCTAAAATCAACATGCTCCAGCAAAGGACTTTATGAATTATTTTTAACCATTCACGCACTAACTCCTGCCAGTGCCATCTGTGTATAGAAGAGTGAAGGATAGCCAGATACCAGCTGTGGGTAGATATAAGAGCCTGCTTCTCTGGGGTTTGAATGCATTAGGAGGCTTTGTATCTGTCCAGAGATGGGCGCTTTCAATCCCATTTGTGATGCACTATATCAGACTGAAATAACGTCCGCATGGACCTGAAACAGAAACACGGTCCGATTTACAGCTGCCACAAAAATGTCCCCTGGCTGACTTGGGAAAGCTGTAGGCAGTAACCGTGTACTCTTGAAATACCTTCTTCCTCTGCAAAATTGACCTGAGGAAGGATGTACTGTTCATTTAAGGACCTCGGTTTGTTCATTTATTCAGAGAACATCTTCACTGACCACTGCTATAAAGAAATCTGCTTCCGGCTCGGCAGCTGGAGACCTACTTCCTCCAAGTCAATGGGGCTGCTGACAGCTGTTTCGCCAAGGAACTTCTGAGCTACACAGCTCTGGGCAGGGTGGAAGGATCAGGGGCAGGGATTCAGGTGGTTGGATATCTAGGGATGGGCACACTGGTTCCAATAAACCAATACTCCCCTGGCCCTTCGCCAGAGCATGGAGAGAACTTTGCCTGAAGGTCCAAAGACAACGTGGGGAACACCGGTTTTTTTGCTTTGGTATCAGTTTTTTTCACGTTTCGTGTTTCTGCGCTACCTGAAACACCACTAGCAAGATTATTCTAGCATAGCCAAAGCAGGAGGCAATCCCCCCAGAAAGCCTGTTCTTATGGTCACACAGAGCCTTGACTAAGTCGTAGAATCATAGACTATCAGGGTCGGAAGAGACCTCAGGAGGTATCTAGTCTCACCCCCTGCTCAAGGCAGGTCAGATTCAGCAAGCTCCCTACCATGAGCAAGGAGTAGCTGTTGGGCGTATGTCCTGTTATTTGACATTTTTCCTCTGTCTGACACCGGGAGGCCAACCCAGATCAAGGCACCGTTGTGCTGTACAAATATAGCAAGTGGCCATCCATGTCCCAAAATGCTGCTGCTCTAGGTAGGCAAGACGGGCAAAGGGTGGGCAGCGTTGCCAACTCAAGCTCCTGGAGCCCTGCGAGCCTGTGAGGGTCTCGGCTTTCCCAAGACGTGCTCTAGCCCTCCTGGTTCCAGAGAGAAGCTTAAAATGGTGACGCCTAAAGACTCAAACCCCACAAGGCAAATAAAAAGATGCCAACATTTATTTATGTTTATATATCTCATGATGCATCAGCCAGTTTCCTGGGGGCCTGACTGGGGGCTTTTGAACACTTGGGATTGGCTGTGTGCAGGAAAAGTGACATGCCCAAGGTCAGCCAGCCGGCCAATGGGCAAGCCAAGAGTT